AATATTATTTTAGTATTGTCTGAGGTGGTGCTGGGGAAGCGCCCTTGTCAGAAGGTCTTGGAATGTTCACACCGTTTTGAAGCCAAGAGTTTCAGGTCTGGCGCGGTGACTGCGGGCGGTGAGCTGAGGCTGGAAACTCGGCCCGCCAGGATCAGTTACAACAATGATTTTCTTAGTTCAACGCTTCACACTTGTGTTAAACAAGTGTGCTGAGCAGTTTCATGTTGCACCCATGTGCTGTGTTAGGTGCCATTTTGGACCAATGTTTGCATTATGTACTACACGAAAAGGTACTTATAACTTAAGTTAAGACACAAAAGCCACCAAAGTTATAATATATTCTTTGCAAAAAAAGAACTGAAGCATTCGGATTGCAGCACCATGGAAAACTTTTGTTTGCCTGTTGACATGCAAGTGACCTGCAGCCTGTCATGGAGCTGACCGAGGCGCACATTCAACATGTGAAGTCCTGCAACGATGATGACAGTTGCTTTAGATGCCTGTACCTCCGAAATATGAAGCTTTGGAGGAAGCGGATGCCATGGCTTATTGACCAAATGTGGAAGCATCCCGGTGATGAGAATAAGCTAGTTTGGGGTCTTGGTTGCCAACTTTGCATCAAGGCTGGGTTAACCACTTCATCAACTTTTGCATCCATGGGCTTTGATGGATCTGGGGGCTTTAGCGGTGTGCTGCGGCATGCCAAAAGCAAGGCCCGTGAAAAGGCACAGAAAGTACTTCATGGTGAAGACGTTCTTGACGCCCCCAGCAAGGATGACTTTGCTAAGTTTATGCAGGAAAGACTTTTGGTCAGAAATATGCTTTTTAGTCGGGGTTTGAGTTTTTTCAATTCCTTTGACTTGCTTTGACCATCGGCGAGAACTTTTGCTTGACATATGTTTGATTGAGTTGGGCCATTTTGTTTGGGCTAGGAAAGATGCGATCGTCCCTGAACTTCCACATACCTGGACTTGGGGGACGAAAGAAGATGACTCAGATGCAGCGCTGTGTTGGCATGGCCTGTGACACTATCGACTTGGTTTTCCTCCTGGAAAAATCCTCATCCATAGTTCTTCACCAGGATGTGTCGAAGGGGCTCTTGGTAGTGACTTTCAGCGCTTGCTCCGAGAGCCTTGAGGTGGTCCGGGGCTTTCTTGGTTGTTGCCCAATTCCCCCAGCCGAAATGGAGAGCTTGCAGAAGTGCACGAGGGATATTCTTCGCACAGCGTGTGCTGGAAATCAGGCCTATTTCGATGTGATTCGGAAAAAGGTTGCAACTTGTATCAATCATGTTGCCTTTGTAGCTTTTTTTTGGGAGTCTGGCGGTGATTGAATGTTTGAAAGGAAAAGCTAAAATAAGAATTTTGGCCGCCCTTTGTTACCGCAATCATCCAAGGAAGTGTTGGTTGCAGATGCAGCGGCCGATGAACAATTGGCCTTGAGGTTGATGCGAGCTGACTCCACCATGTTCGAGTCCACAAAGATGGTAGTCAAGGATCCGACACATTGCGTGAGGCGGTTTTTATCGCGCCCATTTGCGGCCATTCCAGAAATACATGAAGTGCATTCCACCCTCATCACCAGGGGTGACTCCATGACATGCACGCTGCAGTTCTCAGATGTGCTGGGATCAGCCTTTGCTGAATTTTGCAAAAAGATGCACGACAACAAACGCGTGCGGAACCTTCAGTTTAGAAAACACCGATTCGACAGCTGTCAGAGACCCACTGGCAGATTTGTCCTCTATGCCAAAGCCTTCATCTCCACGGCAATCTTTGCATCAACACATAGGAAGGGCGAACGAGACGGCACGAGGGCAGAGCAATTCCTGCAATACATCAGCGAAAAGCGTTTGCTGTTGTTGTCGATGCTGGCTGATGCCAGTGATGAAGTTAGCATCCTGGTGCGTTTTCTCGATCAGGGCGATTGGGACATGGCCAGTTTGCTTGCAGAGATCCAACAGTTCGTCAGCCGTGTGTCATCTCTGTTCTTGGACGGCCAATGTAGGCATTCTGGATATTGCGAGTATATGCTCCAGACATTGAGAACACCCACCGCCTTTTTGACCGCCTCCGGCCCCCGGTCAATTGGGGGCGATCGGATGACAGACGCGCTCTTTCAAGAAACTCTGCAGGAACAGGGTTGTCGTCGTTTACTGTTTCACAATTATTGATATGTGTATACGACGAGGTATATATCGGCATTGTCATAAGTGATAATTAGTTATAATTAGCTAGTCGTATTGTGTTTCAATCTGGGTGCTGGAGAAGCGCCACACCTCAGAATTGGTTCAAGGACACAGTTACAGTTGTGTTGTTTTTCAATCCTATTTCAGGAACATAACCTGTTCAGTGCTGCGCAGTTTTGTCATGAAATGATCTTTTCTTTTGCTGCAGGAAATGCACGCATGGGTAGCCTTGCTCACACACACCGTGGAGGCAGAGTTTCCAGGCTTTAGCCTGATGTGTGCCATGAGCATCTTCAACTTGAACGCCCGAAGTCGTGATTCCGAGGTGGGCCAGGAAGGAATGGCTTATATTCGAGATGCTGCCCACCGGTTGTGCGCCGCATTCCCAGAAGTCAATGAGGAAAATTTCATTCATGAGTTCCTGGACATAAGGCCGATTGCGATGCACCACAGCAAGCTTGCGTCTGTCAACTCCTTTGAGTCATGGAGGCAAGCCATCAGGCAAGTGAGCCGCCGCTCCAGCACATCTCATCCAACTGATAACCTTTCCAAACTTGTGATGAGGCTTGGGGCTTGGGATGGCTGCACAACAAGTGGGGTGGAGAGAGTCTTCGCCAAGCTTCGCAAGTGTGAGAGGTGCCTATCTGACCAAAACAAACGGTTGGAATTGAAAATGTTGTGGGATTGTGATCGGATTGGTCCTGAAGTTTTCAGTACAGCTTCAACAATCTGGGCTCAGCTTTATGGAGCGCCTCGCAATGGAGCCACCCCTCGGCTGGACACGGGTGTGAAGCGAAAGCGGGTGGTGTGCTGGATTGATTTTGAGCAACTTTATATATTTATTTATTGTTTTTGCTGGCTTACTTAATTGTAGTGTGTGTGGTTACCTTTTGCACTTTTTTGACTTAACTTTAAACAATTGTGTATGCTTCCAGGATTCTACGACTGAGACGGCTTTCATTGCCAGACGGCGGGCGGCGGTGGCAAGTGCAGGCTCAAAGTCTTTATCGGATGTCAAAGAGCGAGCAGCTTGCGCAGCTTCAGACCTGATTGATGCGTCAGAATCCATCCAGCAGGAAATTACCTTCCAACAACAGAAGCAGTTCAAGAACAAGATTCAAGGGTTCTTGGACGGGGTATTGCTGCAAAGTGAGATTCCCGAAGACATGCAGGAAACTGCGCAGGCTTTCCTAGAAGCCCAAGATTTGGCTGACAAGAGGAGAGATCGAACAAAATTGAATCAATGTGAGAAACTTAGTCGATCCACACCTCAGATCCAGAGCGTTCACAAGGTTTGGGTGCAGGACGAAGCATGGGCTGAAGACTTCAAGAGGTTCATCTACACAGCCGAGGTCACTGAGGCATTGTTCTTTGTGGTCAAGGACCCCGCCACACCTCCGCCTACGATCCATTGGACTCTTGTCCTTCAGGGTGGATTCGTGATTGATTACACCCACCTTCAATATCAAGCCCAGGGTCGACCAGCGAGAGTCAGAAATCGAGGGGCAACGTTTGCTCATGACCCAGCAGTGCGGACAAGGAGGCGAGTCTTGGTATCACCAGCCTTCAGAGAACGCTGCCCGCGAATTTCTCGAGTCATCGATGCAGCGTGCAGTCACAGGCTCTCTCAATGGACACCATTGAATTCCTGGGAGGAGTTTGCGGCGAGATGTGAAAAGGATGGAAAAAATACCTTCTCTACAATCGCTTTGGGGACAGCTGCCGAGGCAAGGGCTCTCAACGGCAGGAGAAACGTTTTCAGCCAAGCTGAATTTCTGCAATGGCTGCAGAAGGTGGCTTGCGTGTACAACTTCAAATGAGGGCCCATGCTGAGCCTAAGGGGTTGGGATGGCTTAGCATGGCTTGATGTTTCATGTGGCTAGAGTGCAAAAATGCGATAGATGTTGTTTGTTTGTGCTGGACAAGCGCATTCACAAACATGTACATGATTATTGCTGTTTCTTGTATTATTTTACTGGGTGCTGGACAAGCGCCACACACAGCAACAATTTGATGCATTCTGCTGCTGATTTTGCCAAAGCTGAATTTTTACGATTGAGGCATTGGCATGGAGCATTGGTTGGCGCGCTTGCAGGCAGTGAGGGGTCACGTTCAGGGGATGTCAAGACGGTGTCCAAGGGTTTTATTCGGTGCTGCAAAAGCGCTGCTGTTTTAATTTTGGAAAATCACTTAAACTCAAGGTGCTGCAAAGCGCTCCTGGCATTGAGTTGAGACATGCTTTCATATCGCAGTGACCTTTGGGCTTTGGGTTGTCTGAAGCAGCTTGGTATCATGGCGCCCAAGGCCAAAGCAAAGCCAAAAACAAAGGCCGCCGCCACGGCTAAGGCACTACTGGCACCAGACGACAAGGCTGCCGAGGCAACTGGCGGAATGGCTCCAGTTCAGGAGGCCAAGGCTTTGGAAATGGTGCAGGAGGTGAACCGCGAACACCTTCAGAAGCTGGAGGATTCCATCCAGACGATTCTGAGCCATCCTCTCTTCAGCAACATCATGCACGAGAGCCCGCTCAAGATCGACAAGACAGCTGGTGCCAGTGAAGCCGGCATGCAGGCCTGGTTTCATTGCATGTTTTGAAGGTTTTTGAAGACTCAAGCTGATTGTACTTCCTCACACAGATCAACCGTTCATTTCTCCAGGTTTTTGAGCACCGATCAAATTGTTTTCATTAATACCATTTTGTTGTCTCCAGCAGTTTCAATTTTGCAGCTCTGCAACAGTTTTGAATTTCAGTGCTGAAGAAGCGCCTGAAAATCATCAGGTTTCAGAGCTGATAATTTGATTTTCACAGTGCAGCTCTGCAACAGTTTTGAATTTCAGTGCTGAAGAAGCGCTTTAAAATCATCAGGTTTCAGAGCTGATAATTTGATTTTCACAGTGGTCAACCTCTCGAATTCAGCAAACAATGGACATCAAAGAATAGCTTTCAACCGTGTATCATGCCAAACCTCTTAGAACCAAAAGCGCCCTCATTCCTGACAAGGCATCACAAGATCATTCTTGGCCAAGGGATGATGAGGCATTACCAGGTCTTATTTATTTGCAGGGATCCATGTGCACCCGCCTCATGTTGCCTAAAAGTATGATGTTTAAAAAAGTCTTCAGCGTATTACTATAGTCATTCATGCATCGTGCGCGCCAGACGGTGTATCGTGCGCAGTTGGTTCTTATCGTGCGCGCCCACCTGTGTATCGTGCGCACTTGATTCTCTGTGCAGCGTGCGCGCCCACTGTGTATCGTGCGCGCCTGATTCTTTGTGCAACGTGCGCGCCCACCTGTGTATCGTGCGCGCCTGATTCTTTGTGCAACGTGCGCGCCCACCTGTGTATCGTGCGCGCTTGGTTCTTTGTGCAACGTGCGCGCCCAACTGTGTATCGGGCGCGCACGATGCACCCGCGCACGATACACCCCTGAGCGCGCACGATGCACAGCTCAATGAAAATAAGGTTTCTAGTGTTTGTCTCCACATTTGGGACCCCCCTTGAGAGAGGCAGTGCATATGCACTGCCTCTCTCAAGGGGGGTCCCAAAAAAATTTGAGATTTTAAATTTGTTGGCTAAAAAAATT